GGGAGGAGCCATGTCGTCGGTTCTGTGAGTGTTCATTACAGTAGTCCAAATTGTCGCCATGGGTAGAATAGGGGGGCGCCAGGCGCGGAGTTGAAACTCGTGAACATATGATGTTGTTTAATGCAAGTTATGGAACATTACAGTATCTTCAAACGGGTTTTCACGCTATTAATAGGCCTTATGTAATCCACCAATAAGGATTACAACAGCACACAGTATGGCTGCAATTGGTAAGAAAAATAAAATATAACATGGCAAAATTTTTGCCCTGTGTAATTTTTACAACCCAACTCACGCCTAAAATAAACCGAAAAATTCTTATGTGTATAGAAGATTTTCAACTCAATATCACATATTCTTTCACCTCTACAAATATCTGCTGTCACTCATGGGACACCCTGCAATAGTATAAGGACGACATGGGCTATGGTGACAAATTAATGTGACTTACCTGTTGGTGACGACGATGGTAGGAATGAGACCTCGGCATGTTTCAGTGTTCGACATCACCTCCTTCCCCTGGTGTGGGTGGCGCCAACCTTGGTAACAACTTGTGTATTCTCCGTGACTACCAGTAATGGTAGTCACGGAGAATTAATCACTGGTGTGCCCATCATTCGCACCGCCGTAGCCATGAACGGCAGAGATATGGTCATTGTAGTGCTTTTATTTACCCGTTACACATCTCTCACCATGCTTAATAATATTAACTATCTTCATGACATTCTTATTGTTATCAGTGATTGCGGAATTCACGATGTTATGCTCCACCTACACACAGCCTGTTACTAGACTAACCCCCACCTCCTCTATCCCCCCACACACACACACTCTACAGTGGGCGACATCTGTTGGCTGACCATGGCATTTCCCCCTGCTGTTTCGAAAATTCAGACTCAAGGCTATTCGAAACCTCACTGTGGGTGGGTAGTGGACACGAATTTTGTGGACGATAGTACACACAGAATACAGGTTACCCGCTTGCTGGTATCCAGCGCTGGTAGGCAGACACAGAGGATGCAGGTTTATCTGTGAGTTGTGGTCCTGCTGTCGTATAGTAAAGATGTCTAGCTTGTCATCTGATGAAGATTTTCTTTTGCTTTAAAGTGCTTATGGAAAATCGTTATACAAGTACTTTAGTATTAAACTTTTTAAATGTTTAAAATTTATTGTTTATTTTATCTTTAAAATTTTAATTTGATTTGCCTACAGTTTATTTACTTTTTAAATTTGTGTACACTTTATTTCATTAATGTCAACAAAGTATGTGTTTGAAATCACGCCTTCACTTGCCCTAAAAAAGCCTGGGCCCGTATACACAAAACTTTTATGCTAATGACATAATAGTACTGTTAGCTAGCAGTAAAATTTAAAAGTTTCCACAAAGCTTAACTAGCAAACTTTTTCCACACAAATAGTTGTTTGTTAAGTATCGCTAAACAGCGTTAATGATAGCAAGAGTTCAACATATAAAATTGTCTTATGGCTAAATAACCTCAATAAAATTATGAAGATTAATTTCATTATTTACATTTATATACATTTTGATCATTAAACCCCCAAAAAAACTAATCTATGCAGTTTGAAGGAGGATTTATTAACCAAGGATAGTCATCTGTGGCGTTTCCTTGCCGTGCTGTTTGTAAACAATCGTGTTATTGAGGAAATGGAAGTCTCAACTCCACGATAGAAAAGGAAGCCTAACTGGACAGCAGACCAGACTTTATTATTGGTGGATGCCATTGAAGAGAAAAGGTTAATATTGAATGGCTGCTTGAAGGCTTTCCTGAATAATAAAGGCAAAGAGAGGGGGTTATTTTTCGTTATCAACCCATCACCTTTTTAAAATAAATTTCTTACCATTTAGTGGATCTCATTGAGTAACGAAAGAATTTACTTGAAGTAAGCGGCGCATTCCAAAAATGAATGCGATATTCGTGATTTATTAGTTGTAAAAATCACAAATTTTTCTAAGTCCCAATTTGATGTTATAGTTACAAACAGCGTCGCTCTCATTTCGTTAACCACCCATCACTTTTCTTTTCACATGAAAAATTAATTTTTTGCGAGTTTTCTTACTGTTTTAGATGATTCTGACATTTCTCTTTGGGGCAAAGATAAATATCAGAATCATCTAAAACAGCAAGAAATTTATCGAAAAAATATATTTTTCATGTGGCAAAATAACCAAAGAGGGCATGGCTGGAAATCACCGTGAGAGTCAATGCTGCAGTTCCTGGTGTAGTGAGGTCAGTGGCAGAGTGAGACACGCTGATTCTCAGTATTGTCCAAGTCAAGAAAGAAGATCTCTGCTATAAAGAGGGAATACGCACAATATATTCACACTATTTTTAATATATACACACTATTGTATATTCATTAAATATATCTCGCCTTTCTCAATAAATGCGTTGCCACCGCTGATGTTGTTGTTGATTCGCCAGGGTATCAACTAACAGACTACTATTACCTGACTTAAAAGTGCTCCCGAGGTCTTTTAACTTAACAGTACAGTAATCCCGTGTTTTTCGCGGGAATTATGTTCCTGAAACCAAAGCGAAAAGCCAAAACCGCAAATATTCTTTTAGGAATCACTGTACCTGTGGCCACCAAACAGCTCAGGTAGCACCACGCCATGCTATCCACTCATGGCCCAGTGGTCACACTGATCACTGATGCACTGTACAGTACTAACATTACAGTGGTCGTCAGTTAACTAACACAATTCGTTCCAGAAGGTCATTCATTAACCGAAAATTTCGTTAACAGAAACCATTGTTTCAATGGGATTTTGGGTAATTGGTTCCAGCTCACCGAAAATTATATACAAATTAAAAATAAATGCAGTAAGTACACTTACTTTGAGGTGTGCATGTAGAAAGCTCCTGGTTGATGATGATGATGATGATGAAAATTAGAATGGGGGTGGAGGAGAATGGAGAAGAGAAGGCATTGGGGTGGAAGAGAAGTCACCCCATGCCGCCATTTCACCCATAAAATTTTAGTTCACTTGGTGTAATTCAAGATTATTTTCTTTAAATCAACACTGCACTGCATTATATATTGTCAATATGTAAAATATATTTCAAAATGACCAATAATTTGACTGATAACACAGAAAAAAAGCATTTATGTTGAAGAGTCTCAAACAAGATGTTCCTTCCTCTGAACTGGTAAACAAACTGACGCCAAGCTTGGTGTGTTGAGTGGCTGTTTGGCGTGCAAAAAACTAGCTTCCTGTACTTCAATTATGTTCAATAATTGTTAAAATGACTAAAAAATTTAATATAAAACTTTTAAAATTATTGAATAGTACAACCTTCTTGATATTTACTAAAATGGTAAGGAATTTAGGCCCTAAAACCGATTACTGTATTGACGGACTAATACTACAGCTGGTGGGCAGCCAAATATGCAGGCAAAAACATGTTGGGAAAAATTCATAAGGAATTCGTTAACCGAGGGTTTGCTCGTTAACCGAAGTGAAGAATCTTATATATATATAATTTTTTAGTAAAAAACTGCGAATGTTCAAAACCACGATGAAAAAAACCTGCAAAAAATACGGGATTACTGTACTATTAAGGCCCTTAAAAGTTTTGTGTGTGTACTATTAGTGCTTAACAAGAAAATATCAGCCTTAACAACTGTTTGGTAGCACTTAAAAGTTTTGTGTATACCGGCCCTGTTTACTTACCGTCACAGTTCATTTTTTGCTGATTTTAGCCCAACTTTTACAGGGGCGGATCCAGGTGGGGTCATAGGGTCCAGACCCCCAACTGGGTGGGCTCGCTTTGTTCGCCATGGTCCCACATCCACAACTTCTTGGACCCTCCCACCCCCATTTGATATTCCTGGATCCACCCCTGATTTGTCTATAACATTTCTTTTTTTTTTTTATGTATTTTCTCCCTCTCGTCCCACACTGCAGGACTCTCAAACATGCAGGCGATCAAAATCTCTACTTCCACCATGAAAAATACTGTATTAATAAAAACACCTCGCACAATTAGCCCCGCCTCAACATGTCTACCCGCGCAGTTAAGCGGGAAAAGAATGTTCTGTTCATTCTGGCAAACTTGTCAGCGCGTGCAACCAGCGCCGACAAGCTTCAACATGCTTCTACTGTTTGCGGCCGCACTTGATAGCATGGTCACATTCATGACGCTTGTCAGTGCCGGTCGGTGCTGGTAACCAGCAAGCGGGTAACATGCTCTCTTTGTGTTCTTACCCTTAGGGTTGAAGTTTTGTGATCCAGGTCAGGGATTTTTCCTGCTTTTTGAAGTTCCACCAGATTATGTGGACATTTTTGCAGCCTTAACACTGCTTCATGTTAGAAAATGTTCCTGCCTGAGAATGCAGCCAGACCCTTGGTCAAGGCAGGCACTTACTAGGGATGCTCTGTGAAAGGAATATCACAGTTCCCCAGACTCTTCCCCTCAGTCATAAAATGAGAATTCCAAGTTCAGTCCTTTATTTTTGCCATTGAAGTTACTGTATTCCTGTTTTCAGTAAGTAGAAAATAAAGAAAGTGTACCACAGTAGCTGATTTAATTTTGAGTTACATCATAATTACTCCTGACAGTACAGTATGATGTTTACAATTACTGTACAGTATTATACCTTAACAAATATTTTGAAATACTGTACAATGATGATTTATAGTATGCTGCATAAAATTAACTAAGAGAAAACTACCCAGTTTTGTGAGTGGTCAATCTCTGTTGCACCATTTTGTTAGTTTGATATTTGGTTGTTGTAGTTTCTGTAGACAAAGTTACATCATGCCATAGTAGTTGAACATTTGCTGCAATCACATCATTTATGTTTTTACCAGTTTTTCTTCCTGTCTCTGAGGTTGTGATGGAACATTGCATTTAGTAAGAGAAACTAACTGCATCTATATGTACTGTAGTGCATTCCTTGCAGTTCCTTTTTCAAAAAGTTCATCTTTGTGTTGGTTCAAAATTATCTTGAAATATTGCAATGTGCATTTGCAGACTTCAACAACTTCCAGTCCAAACATGAAGTCTGGTCGGCCGTCCTTCAGTGGATCAGTTGGTAGACCAGCTTGGGTGGAGAAAGAACTGGCTGGAAGAATTAAGGTGAGACAAGACCACCATAGATATTGATAAATGGCAAGTTCATTTGCAAAGCACATTGTTATCACACACTGAAGATTCACTGTGTATAGAATCTTTATTTACTTTTATTTAGATTGCTACTTGTAGTACAGTACTAGAAAGTTGAATTATGATTATGCATGGAGTTTTATTTAGTACATACTATGGAATCTGGGTAGTACTTGAACTATGTAGGAATTTGTAATGTAATCCTCTGAAAATTTAACTTCTTCATACGAGTACTACTGTATATTGAATATAAGTTAAGGTTTGTTAATTATTTGAAAAAACCTACCGGTATGCAAAATGTGGCATTGATGTCATAAATTATAATAATGATATAGGCAAGTAATTGTAAGCAACATTTATGTAATGTGTAATTGTGTATAGAAAAATGATTATCTGAATGTTATTATGATTATATACTGTAAGTCAAAAGTTTCATAATTGGAACTGGATAGGGAAGTATTTTTGCAGCAAATTCTCAGGTAATTTTAATGCATTTGTGTAGTTTTTGCATGGCTTACTGATGTAAGGTGTTTGTTACGAAGTACTATACTGTACTGTGTTTTGGAAAAATATGAATACCTGTACAGCTATCTCTGGATTTACACTGTACAGTAGTTACGTTCTTGAGAATGGCCGTGTAAATCAAACTTTACTAGGTAGTAGGTAGTTGGCAACTATGAAACAGGGAGGTACTACAGCCTGGGAAGATATTGAAAGCATAAAGTGTTGTGTAATGGTAGCCCCTGTTGCCATATGGCATCACAAAAATTGTGACCAAGTCCCAGGTTGCTGATCTGAATTTCTGCAACGACGTTCCCTAAGCTACGAAGTGAAATACAAGATCATTCAAGATTTGGAGAAAGGAACACGTCAAGCTGATCTCGCACGCCAACATGGAGTCAACGAATCTACGATTCGTACTATTAAGAAGGATGCAGCCAAGATCAAAGAACACATGAGAATCACAAAGTCTGCAGGTGCTTCAATGATCAAGTAATGCCAGAAGAAGGTGCTGCTAAAGGTTGAAAATTTGCTGGTGAGTTACTTGATTCGTCAGGCGTGACGCAACATGGCGGTGGACACGCGATCCGTTCAAGAGTACGCCCGTGAACTGTACGCAGCAGTGTCACGTAAGATGGGAATTGCAGAGCCCAAACCCTTCAATGTTCCTCTGGTTGGCTGCATAGGTTTAAGAAGAGGAACAAGATCACCAACATCAACATTGGTGGTAAAGAAGCGAGTGCTGACTGTGCGGCGGCTAGAGATTTTCCTCCGTTCCTACGTGAGGTTATGGAGGAAGGGCAGTACACCGACGACCAGGTGCTCAACATGGACGAATCCGGTCTCTTTTGGAAAAAGCTACCTTCCAAGACCTTCGTTGTCCAGTCTGCCAGCAAGATTCGGGGCCGGAAGTTGCAGAAGGAGCGCATCACCATCCTCTTTACCACCAATGCCTCTGGTACCTGTAAACCCAAGTTATTGGTGATTCACACAGCCCGCAAGCCGCACACCTATAAGAACGTGGACATGAGCAAGATCAATGTCCACTGGCTGACCGCACGTAAGGCGTGGATGTTCTCTGCTCTGTCACTCTCCTGGTTTGATGACTGTTTCGTTCCCGACGTGAAGAAATTCTGCGAGCAACAGAATGTTCCATTCAACATTCTGTTGCTCCTTGACAACGCACCAGGACACTCGCCACTACTTATGGATCATCACCGCGACGTAAAAGTGGTCTTCCTTCCTCCCAACACTACGTCATTAATCCAGCCCATGGGCCAGGAGTTGATCTGCAATGTGAAAGCTGCATACTCTGCAAAAAAATTTAAGCTCCTGAACAACTGTACCAACACCAAGGATGAGTTGCGTAACCTGGGTGACACCGATAGCGAGAGCAAAAGCGGCGAGGACAAGGAACAAGAGGTGGTGAATCAAGAAGTTCTCGTCAAACAGTTTTGGAAAAAATTTTACGTCAAACAAGCTGTGGACTTCTTGGTGGAGGCATGGGATCAGCTGTCTATAGCTACGATTCGTCACACATGGAGGCATGTGTTGCATGGTATACCAGATGAGAGACGGAGTCGACCTGTGACTGGTGAGGTTCAGTCTGTGACAGTGGCATTGGACCTTGCAAGAGAAGCTGCGCACAGTATTACAGCTGAAGGCTTCTCCGAGACCACCAACGAAGACATCCTGGAGGTGATCAGAGATCCTGAAATGACTGCCGACGAGATGTTGGAAGATGATCACGTCAGTGAAGAGGAAGGTGGTGCATCAATCCCAGAAGAACACAAGTTAACGCATAGTAATATTAAGGGTGCCATCGAGTGTGCAGAGAAATTGAAGCTCTTCCTTTCCAACGACCATGACGATGACCGCTATGAAGTCTTCCATACCCGGCTGGTGCAGGCTATAGAGCCGTACATCAAGGTGTATCAAGACAACATCAACACTAGCCGTCAAAAAAGCATTACCGAGTTCTTTGCCCGCAACCCACCACAGCCAGCCAGAGCCAGTGATAGTGACAGTGAAGGTGACTTTGAGGGAATTGTCAGGGAGGCCCTGACAACTATGACGGATAGTGATGGTGATTCTCCAAGTGATGGTGATTCACCTGAGGGCCAGTAATCTGCCCTCTGCCTCGGAACTAGCCTCCATCCCTGTATGCCGACCCATCTCTTCTACTAACGTAAGTGTTAAACCTAACCTTTAGTTTTCCTAACCTAACCTTTATTTTTCCTAACTTAACCTTTATTTTTCCTAACCTAACCTCTTCTACATTAATTGTGTGTGCATACCATCATAAAGTTAAGATAATATTTTTACTACAACATAGTTTTGTGTCGTCAAAAAGTGGAGTTTGGGGGTCGGGCCAGTCTCTATTGGAATTAATCCCATATGTTCTGCTGTTCACTTTACGCAGATTTCACTTTCCGCGGTACCCTGTGGGTTCAATTGACCGCGTAAATCGGGGTACCACTGTACAGTATTGCCTTGTTGGCTGAAAAATAAAAACTTCATCTTACTCCAAAAGTCACTTATTTCTCAGCACTATATACTGTACCTATATGTTTGTGCATACATATTTAAAATCCTTTCACGGGTGTTGCTTGTGGGTTCAAATTTTATGATTTTTCAAAGACCAAAATGCAGGATCACACACATATAGATTATGAGATTTGAAAAAAAAAAAAAAATAGGCTTATTGGTCACCTTACAAGGTGTAAGTTGTTTTATGAGAGAGAAAGAGAAAGAGAGTACTACTAGTGTTGGTGCAACTGTCTATACTGTATAGGGGGTTACTTGGATTAGGTGATAGGGATTAGTGCAACCCTGTAAGAAGTTTATACTACCTGTACTAACTGTTTGAATTAATCTCGAAAAATAATCTTAGGTGATAATGGATATTGAATTAATGTAGCCACAGTACAGTTCAAAACTGCATTGTTTAGGGCAAATTTTCAAGATGTGCTAACAATACCATAAAGTTCAGTCTTTTCGTAGGATCAATCTATTCCATCAGTCCAATGAAAATTGCAAGGATAGGCATTTCATATGTTTTAGCAGTATTGAGTGCACTAAAACCTTTATAATTTATTAGTCAATGCAGGTCTTCCCTGCCTCAGTTGACTACATTTAATTAAATTTTGCTATTTTATGAAGATCCTATTTCTTCCACATTCTTGCTCTGTTTGAGAAAAATTTTAAGTCATGTGACTGGCTGGGTTGGATATGTGAAGCTCATGTGACCAGTGCAGGCACAGGTGGACTACACTATGCAATTGGGCTGTGTGAGGCTTTGTTGGAGTGGGTGGAGCGGTGAGTGAGGAGTCACCTGAGGCAGCCCACATACTTCCTCACTTAATGTTGCACTTTCCTTAGTTGTGTACAACTTATGCTGCTGTCTTCTCATCTTATTGGTTGTGGATTTGTCATTGCTGGTGCAGTGGTGCAGTATCATCACTGAACCCCTGTACTTATTCCACTGAAGAAGCGAAAGTGGACACATGGAAATATTTTACTGTACAGTCAACCCTCGCTTTACGCGGTCCCACATTCCACGTTTACGCGGTACCCTGCCGAAACCGGAATGCTCACATTCCGCGGTGCGTGTACCCCTTTACGCGGAGAGCGGCTGGCGAGCCGCGCCATTTTTGGTTCCAAACCTCCCGCCATCTCTTCCGCCCTCTCCCGCCATCCACCATGTTGTGTAAGCAGGGTGCGCACAAGGTCGCCCAGTCATCAAAACATTACCGAGTTCTTCACCCGCCACCCACCACAGCCAGCCCAAGTCAGTGATAGTGATAATTATAGTGAGGATATGGACTTCTATGGACTTTGAGGGGTTTGACAAAGAGGCACTGCAAGCCTCTGTGGTGGATAGTGATACAATTGATACAACCCCCCATCCGCGTGTGCCCAGCCATCTTTTCTACTAATGTAAGTGTTAAAAAACCTAATATTATTGATATTTCTCTTAATTATTAATTGTGTGTGCATACCATCATAAAATTAAGAAGTTATTTTTACTACAACGTAGGTATTGTGTCTGAAAAAGTGGAGTTTGGGGGTCGGCCCGGTCTCTATTTCAATTAATCCCATATGTTATGTTGTTCACTTTACGCGTTTCTCACTTTCCGCGGTACCCTGTGAGTTGAATTAATCGCGTAAAGTGAGGGTTCACTGTACTGTATTGAGGCAAACTGGAGTAGGTGAATGTGTGTATGCACTTAGTTATCTGTTTAGCCTTGGGGAAAGCACAAATCATACCATTAAGAAGAATGCCAACAAAATAAGGAACTCACTGATGTGCTAAGCAGTTCTCAGCAAAGATAATAACAAGAATAAGAAATGCCCAGGTAGAAGTACAGTAGTACAGGTACCTGTTTTATTTTATTACATATTTTTTTTTTTAGGTGATTTTTCCTAAGATTTATTCTGAAGGTGTTAGAAATGATGATTTTGTTTAGGGG